GGAAAAACACCTCATCCTCCACCCAAACCTCAAACAGCATGGGGAGGGGGAGATGCACAATTGTCCCCCATACCCAAAGGCCATGAATAGCCTTTATAATGATTTTGTTTTTTAAAAAAGGGAGTAGTCTTCTGAGGAACAGACGAGCATGACGTGTCACTCTCAGAAAAGTCCTCCAGGAAGGATAAATCTGTCATTCCAGTACCAAATAGGACAGAAAAACTGCTCAGCCCTGCAGACACCAGACTCTTGTGGAGCCAGAAGCCTGAGTCTGTGAATGACAGGGTCTTGGAAGATAAGTCAGAGAAGAAGATGAGATCCTTCCCCAGTCTGTGGAAATGGAGAATGTTGAAAGCACAAGCCTGGCTTGAGGCCTTGAGGCAAAGAACTGAGCTGCAGGGAAGGACTAAGAGAAAGTAGGGTTTGTTTTTTTTTGGCAGGAGGATTGTCTCCCCCCCCCCACCAGGGAGACCCATGAGCCAATGTTTGTGGCTGTGTTCTTCCCACTGCTGCCCAGACATCTGCAGCTGAGTGCCAAATGGTGCTCCAAAGCCTTCAGCTGGGACTGCAAACTACTGGAGACCATCATGTCTGTTGGCCTTCCTGCCTATGTGCCTAGAACTGGCTGCTGATTCATGAACTGTGCCTCTCTGCTAGACTGTTAAACAGCACCTTTGAACGTCCCTTGCCAATTGTGGCAGATATTGCTTGGTTGTACTGTCTGGAGTGGAACTGGAATGCAACTTTGGATTTCCTTATCCTGGTTGTCTATTTCAGTAAGCGCTTCAGTGCCTATCTCTTTTGCTTTGTCTTCTCTCTGGTGTGGGGACTCCCTGGAGTGAAGCCATGCCTGCTGTTCTCAATGAAGAACAGGACAACATGTATCCTCCATACCTCCAGAACACTGAAAATTATAATACAGTACATCCTTGAGTTTCTATTACTGTTATCTGGACTTAAGCTAAAGGGCTGGTCTAGGACTTCATAATGACCCAGTGTGGTGTAGCAGAAAGAATGATGGACGAGGACTCGGGGAGTCTGGTTGAAAATCCTTGCTCAGCCATGGTAACTCACTGGGGGAGTGGAAATGGCAAATTGTTTCTTAAATATCTTTTACTTTGAAATCCCTATTAGGGTAGCTATAAGCAGGTTCCAACTTACCAACACATAACAATGATTCACTTAACTTGCATTGATTTTAGTAGGTTTACTCTAAGTAGATCTAATTCTGGATCCAGCCTAATATCTTGACCAGCAAGTCACCTCTCATGATTTTAGTAAATTCTCTAAACATATGACTAAATCTTAATCTATGATGTATGCTTTTTCTTTTCTTTTCTCTTCTCTCTCTCTCTCTCTCTTTTGGAAGAGAATGCCAGGACATTCACATCATGTTCCCAAATGCTAAAACTGTCTATCCACCTGTTACTGGCAGTTCTGAAGAAGATAAACAGCTTGTTAGGGTGACAAAACTCATCAATTCTTTCAGAAAGGAAATTAGTTTTAGTAGTGCATGTAAATATGTACCCTTTAAGTGGAAATTAAAAAGTTTTATGTAATATTACTCATAAAGAATAAACATAGATGTTTCAGAGATCATCCTATTTGCACACAGAGATAAGTGCATTCCTAGCAAAACTTGGAGAAGTTATATTTATAGATTACAGTTCTCAGAATCCCCAAACATAATGTTTCTTGTGTGATGCCTCTGGGAACACACAAGACAACTAGATACCTGTCTCCTGATACCCCTCCCCTGCACCTGGCATTCTACCTTCCTTCTAAGCCTGGAGATTGTACATCTCCATCATGACTTGTAACCTGTGATGGACTTTCACACTTGTCAAACAAGCTAGTGTACTTCTTCATACATGAGAGTATCTGAAATATTTGCCAAACAGTCTCTTTCTTTCATGCCTAAAGAACTGGACTTCTCCATGAAAGCTCACCTTATAACATAGCAGTTAGTCTTTAAGGTGCCACATTTTTGTCTTCTTTATTTTTATTTTATTTGTTTTGTGCTTGCTTGACAAGCTTAAATAAAGATTTATGTATTGGAGATTCTTATTCCAAGCCCAAAGAAGCCAATTGCTATGGTAAATTCATTAAAATAATGACATCACATGAAAGATTATTAACAAACCATTCTTATATAGTTTCTTCTATTAACAAGTGATCAACCTAAGCCATATCAATTGCTGTTTTGTGTCTGTTTTCTGACAGCATAAAATTTATCTAATTGGTTTTATAAAATTATTTCTTTCCAAGTTAACATTAATATCCTGTATGATCTGAAAAGCAGATGTGTGTACTGTACGGAAGGGATGAAGGAAGTATAAAACTAGTACCCTGATAATTACATGAACTGTAATACTCTGCTGTTGACTTTACAGATATTTTGATGCATGCAAGTAAATTATGAAATTGAAGGACATGAGTTTATTCTGTGAGTCATGCTGACTAGCAGAGTTCAAATTCAGATGGCCAGCAGAATCAGTAATTGGCTTGACTGCATTTTACAGCTATTCTAGTCATGGTAATTATAGAAGGCAACAACTGAATACAGAGATGTGGGTCTGGTACAAAAGAGTTTGTGGGTGTAAAGAGCTGTGCATGAGATGTGCTAAGAAAGAAGAATATGTAATATGACTTCGCAGTAATATGTTAATATGTGTCAGTGCTGTGTGCCATCATGTTTCATCTGACTAATAGCAACTCTTGTAAGATTTTCAAGGTATGTGGGATATTTAACAAGTGGTCTTACCAGTGCCATCCCTGAATGAGTTTCCATGCCCAAGCAGGAATTTGAGCCCACATCTCCTGAGTCCTAGTCCCTTGTTCTAGTCATTACAGCACACCCAAACTCTGAAATAGGAATTTTGGAACACTATGTCAGAATTCTGCAATCCACCACGCTTTTTCATTTTGGGGGAAGTGGGGGCAGATGTTGGGATACTTGGACCACTTGATTAGCACTTTGATCAGAATCGTATTGGAATGTTACTCCGAAATAAGTGAAATTGTTTAAGCTGTGGGGAGAAATTGCAACCAATTAACAAGTTACCAATCATGTGTCTGGTCATGTGCTTGGTTGCATGCCAATTTGTGAGTGGCATATTTTTAATTAGTTGCAATTCAATGCTGCAATTTACTTGATTTCTTTTCCTCCAGAGCAAAACCCCAATAGGGCCCTGACTGTCGTGCATGGCAGACAGGTAGACAATATCTTGTTCACGTTAGAGGAGGGGATAATAAATGTTTTAAAAATGCTTTCAAAGGGTCATAGCAAATGATATATGGGAGACATGTGAATTGCTACATGGTGAGCTAAATGAAAACCACTGCAGATCTGCTTCAGAGATGGCTAATTTCAGCAGAGAATTGAGAGAGAAGGAATGGCTTAGAGCTTTTTCCCTTCTGTATTTTCCTCTGCTAATCTCTTTCCACTAGCTGCTTTTTGCTCTGCAAGGCAAATGAAATTTGACCTGCCCAGTTAAGATTTTTTTTTTTAAAAAAAAATACAGTATCTCTCCCTTAAACATCCTTTCTTTCCTGCCAATTAATTGCCCAAAGCCTACCTCAACCAAAAGGTCTTTGTCTGCTAGTTGAAGGACAGCAGGAAAGAGGCAAGCCTAATCTCCTTGGAAGACAGTTCCAAATTCTAGGAAAAGGTGCCCAGAAATCTCTCCCAAGGTTTCCCACGAAGGTGTTAAATTTAAGCTGTGTTTTGACATAACACAGCTTAAATTTTAAGAAAGTGGAAACTTAAAGACTCAGGAGACTCTATCAAGGATCTTGTATTTGAGGTCAGTGGGTAACTGATGTTGGCTAGTTAATACAAAGTTGCATGTTCATGTCCATAAAAGGATTAAGTTACCCGCCTGATACACCTCTGCTGGCGTTAATACCTTTGACCTAATTTGTGCATAGGTGACAAGATAGCCAGAGAAGTCCAGCTTTGCTAGTGTTACTGCTATTTCTGTTCAAGGAACAAGAAACACTTAGACTAGATAACAGTTTTCATCCAAGAGTCCTGATTTGTTATGAGTATCTCCTAAGAAGTGCAGGGGAGGAAAAAGGTGACAAAATGTTACTTTTAATAAGAAAGATTAAAAGTAAAACTATTGGAAGGCTTGTTTGTTTCTGTGTGTGATATGTGTGTGTTTGTTTGCTATTGACAGATTGCAACAAAACTCTCTCCAAAGCATAAACAGGTGATGAAAAGTACTATCAACTCTCTTTGGGTCCTGTTGTAAAATAACACAACAAAAGCAATTAATGGCAAGTAGATGAGAAATAGAGGAAGTGTCACAAGATTCTTGCTTGAATAATCAGTAGAGATGGGGATGACTCACCATTTTGGCGACTCGTCCCACTTCATAAGTCGTCAAAAGTTGACGACTCACGAAGCATGAAGTTGCCTCCATAAAGTGACGAATAACAACATTATTTGTTGATTCGTGGTTTTTTTTGTTGATAATATGAAGGATGAATAAAAATGGGTGAATATTTGTCTCTTCGTATTCATGGAGGTCTCTGGAACCCATGAATATGAAGGGATGAATATTTAACAAATCGGCTATTTTTGTTGAAAAAGCCAATCCGTTTTAATATTTGTCCCCATCTCTAATTATCAGTCTTTTTCAGAACTCTTAAAGAGAATAGGCTCATGCCCACTTTAGACAGCAGCTCATATTCCACATAATTTTGTTTATTTTGTCTGCTATTAGCACCTCAGTGTGAGATAGGAGAAATTTGTATAGGGGAAGGTTGATTAATCTCTGCCAAGAATAATAGCAAGATTAAGGACAATTATATTTATGCAACACTGATGAAACAATGACCCTCTAGTACTGGCAAAGTTGCCAAATATGTTAGCATACAAAAGAATTGTCATAAAAGCAACTCCTTATTGTCATTTAAGCCTGAATGAAAGTTAGTTATATGTTGTTTATGTTATAGGCAAGTACTTTTAATTGTTACATATGATTGCATTTCAGAACAGCCGAGAATCAAATATCACAAGTGATCTTCTGTATCTTAACCTCCTAAGAAGTGGAAATGGAAAACTGACTACAGGAGGTATGGCATATATGCATTTATCTTGTTTACATCAGTGTAAAGATTTGTTCAACAACCTTTCACCTTCCCTGGGCCACATTAGAAGATGAAAATTTGGTTTGGGCCGCACATACATTTGGTTTGGGCCGCATGGGGGGCAGCCCTAGCCGTCCTCCGCAGCCCCGCTCCAAGCATGCTTACCAGCAGCTGCGATCTCAGACAGCAGAGGCTGCCAGCTTCGACTCCGGTGGCTTTATGGGGCTGGGAGGGGGTCTGCCTATTGCCGGGGATGGTGCAATGCAGTCACGCATCCCCCCTGCCCCCTCCCCCCCCCTTCCACTCCTTCCTTCCTTCCCTCTCTGCCCCTCTACTGTTGTGACATGCCCCGGCCACATTCCCGCCGCAAGCACCAGCAGTGTAACTTGAAACTTTGGAATTTCTTTAAAAATAAAAAATTGCACTGGGCCGCATTATGACCTGACCTGGGCCGCATGTGGCCCTCGGGCCGCAGGTTGGACAAGCCTGCTGTAAAGATTTGTTCAGAAATATAATGATCCTTTCACAGACAGCTGCCATGAGTGCCATTTCTTGGTGGAACAACAGAGTAAAAATCAGTAAATAAACCAATGTATTACATCTCTGCTTTAAAGTTTCTGAAGATGGCTTGTAAACATGTTTCCATTGAGAACATAAGGACCAGGCACCTGGCTGGATTATAACTTGCAAATTATAAACCTTGAGCAATTGATTTTCATTTTCCACCAGTGTGGTCTGGTTTCATGCTTTTCTCAAACATTGCAGTAGGCACATTTATAATGTAATGACAAGTAGTCTAAAGGCTATATTTATCTCTCTGCATCTGGCATTTGATATTTTCTCATTATTATTCACATCATGGTGGATCTTAACTGTGATCAATGTTCTGTTTTTCTCTCGTTCTCTGAAATGATGCTGTTTCTGATGATAAGTCAGTGTTACTGAGGATAATGATGCAGTGACATGGTGGAATTGTACTACTGTAGATCCTAAGCACTAACTTGCAAGCACAGCAGTTCATAGGTTCATACAGCATAATTAATTGAACTTGGTTTTAGTGCAACTACACAATTACATCCCTAAAGATGTAAGGACATTTAATTTTACATGCCTTATGTTCTCCCTTCAGCCAATAAAAACATCAGCTTTAGATGTGTGTCATGCTTTATTTCACCATAGGGATTTTCTTCCATAGACAATGAGCTGCATTTATCAAAAGCACTGTTTGATAATCCCAGGAGCATTCTTAATTCTAATCATTTTATCTCACTGACTAACGAGGTTCAGTATATCTTCTTAATTGATTGCAGAGGTATCCTCCTATCTCCATGCTTGCTGGCATGGATTATAAATACTGTAATTTAAAGTGCAGAGATGAAAACCTGAGCGATCAGTAATAAGTAATTTTGATTAGTATTGAACACAGTATGAACATTACTGCTGCAGCTCTCTAGGGTGGAGAAATTCTCAGTTTTTCCATGGGTATACCATTGAAAAGTTTCCAACTCTTATATAAATAATATTTTGGACTATTTGTACATGCTGCTTGGCTGCCATGTTGTGACTTTCCACATAATTTGCAATAGCCATGGTGTGTTCTCTCCATATGTGGGTTGAGAGCCACACAGCAAATGATTCTAAGTGTTATGTGCCAAAGAAAGATAATTTCATTGTGGGGAGGCCATTTATAGCAGCAGCTGAGTATGGCAGCTGTAAATTTCTGCGTGCCACTCTTTGTTAAATGTTTCTCAACATGTCATGAACACATAAAGTACAGAGGAGGTGCAAAGTTAAATCTTTTTTATTGCCTTGAGCTTTCAATGAACAATAAAATGCAATTATGTTTTATTTAGGCTGGTTGCTTGCTGTTTATCTGATGCATTGTTGGGGAATGTTGCTTTTTAGTACTGCTCTTTGATATGTGTTGTTTTTGTCTGTTTGCATTTCTAAAAGTCTTTTGCTTTATTCTGTAAATTAGTAAATGACCATATTTAGTTGAGAAATACTGCATCCTTAATTTTTTTTCTCTTTTCAATTAAATGTGGTTAAGAATTATATGAAAGCACAGTATTCAATACTATCCAGTACTGCAGGAAGCCCAATATGGAGAATAATAATAGTACAGTGGTGCCCCGCATAGCGAGGGTTAATCCGTTCCAGATTAACCCTCGCTATGAGGAAACATCGCTAAACGGGACGCAAAATGCCATTGGAACGCATTAAACTTAGTTTAATGCGTTCCAATGTCTTCTATACTCACTGTTAAGCGAAGTTTCCTCATAGCGCCACCATTTTCGCCCTCTCTGTAAGCGAGGGCAGGGTGCGAAAATGGTTGCGGCGGCCATTTTGGGTCATCCAGCGGCCATTTTGGAGCCGCCGAACAGCTGATTTCCCGGCGTCGCAGTCCAAAGATCGGCAAGCAAAACGCTTACCGATCTTCGCAATGCGAGTTTTGGCCATAGAGGCCATCAGTAAGCGATCGCATTAGCAATCTCAAAAAAGAGATCGCTATGCGATTTCGTCGTTATATGGTGCGCTCGTTAAGCGAGGCACCACTGTATTACCTCTAATCTATGTTTGAAATTGCTGTAGAGTTCATAATTTTGGAATAGTAACAGTATCAGCAATTCAGTAAGGAGAGATGCTAGAATTATTACTAATATTGGTATTAATATTAGAAGTATTGAATTGATTTGAGCTAGTGTACTGATATTATTAAATTAAGTGCAAGTCATAATGCCTAAATGAAAAAGGTGTTGACAAGTTTTCAGTTTTGTCCTTTCATCATAACCCACAACTCCACATTGGAAACATGAATATTTAAAATCATGATAGGTTTTATGGTAGAAGATGAGAACAACACAGGCTGCCATCAAAAACATCACCAGAAAGAGGAATCAAGCTATTGAGTAATCCATTAAAAATAACTCTCTTTTTTTGTATAGTCACTCTATCCAGAAACAGATGTCTTTAGTATTGTATAAAGAAGAGAGAATGTTGGAACTTTTCCAACTCTTATATAAATATTAGAGATGGGCATGAGCTGATTTGTCCTGGTTTGTCCCAGCTTGTAAAGGCAGTAGTACAGGTGCTTTTGCTCCCCTCCGCTACCTCCTCTAACACAAACAGCCACTCACTGGACCCAGCTTGCTTGTTTTTCTCACCTCCTCAACTGATTTTCTCATCCCAGGAGCAGCTCGGGCTTCTCTGCCTTGTCCTCTTGGCTGATCTCCCACTCAGGGCGGGGGAGAGAAATTGTGTTGGCCAAACATAGTTGTTTCCCCTTTCATGATTTGTTTCCTTCCCAACAATTCAGAGAAACCAACTGTAAATTCCCTCTCTGGTTTTTCGGAAAAGAAACAAACCAAAACAGAAGAGCGCCCATGTTGGGATAACACATTAAACAAACCACGGAGCAAACTATTATGATTTGTTTAGCTGCTGCTGCTGCAACACATAGGAGTAGTTGAAGAATATACCAGTACACTGCTGATAGCCAATAAGTCAAGTTCTCGCACTTCCCTGACTTACCTTATCACTCATACCCAGACAATGCATTTCTCAGCTGAATTAAATGTTACTATTTTTAATTTATTCAGTTAGAAAGAAGAATAAAGGAAATCCCAGCTCTCCCTCAAAATTACATTTTCATTAAATCTTGTCCATCTTTCAGAAGCCATCCTGGAACCATCCTTAGAAAAAGTATGGCTTGATTGTTCATAAGAGTAAACTTTGTTCAGGTTGTCATGCATCGCCTGCTTCCTGCGAGCACTGGAATTGTCACACCCATTTCCACCTGCATGCCCATGAAGCCCCTGCCATCCCAACACAGTTTAGTCCTTGTAGGTATTCCTTGAGGAAGTCTTTATAAGAACTCATTTTGATCCTTAATTCTCTAACTTAATGAGATTTATATGCAATTATGGTTTGGCAAATACCTTCAGACTCTAGTATTGCAGTAAAGTCAACATGAATGTTTTTAACTAGTGAGGTTGTGTATGTGTGTGTGCATGCTTGTATATGTTCTTGTGTGTATACTCTTATGAAGTGTGTCAAAAGCAGCCAATATAGAGATTGCAACAGACAAGATACTGTGTGGGAGTATGGTTCGACTGTGGTTCAGGCGTTATCTCTTAATGTATACTGTCCATATGTAAAGAGGAGTGCTCTAGCTGCACCCTACTGTTTTTCAGTTTTGTCACCCTCTCACATATAGAAAATCATGATCTTGACCCCCAGGGCCAACTCCCAGATAAGAGTCCTCCCTCTTAAGACGTGTCACGCTCCGCATGTAAGAGGGAGAACGTGTAAGACAGGGATATAGCACTATATCATTTCTACTCATAGTAAGTATACATGAGTAGACAACACTTTGGTATGCAACTTGTTCATACTGTACTAAGCCATCCTTCTATGGCTAATTGCCATTGAACAGGCTGGGGTTATATGGTCATTAACTCTGAAGTAACTGAATGAATGTTTCTGGAAGAGGAGACATTATACGGTTCACTCCATTTTCTAGTGCACTTGAAAGGCAGCTGCTTTCTGGCAGCTGGAAAGCAGCAAGGAGAAACACAATAGCCCCTAAATCAGACATACACAGTGGTGCCTTGCTTAACGAGTGCCTCGTTTAGCGATGAATTTGCATAACGATGTGGTTTTTTAGAAAATAATATACACTATATAACGATGTTTCCTATGGGCGATTTTCGCTTAGCGAAGTTTGGGACCATGCTTCGCATAACGAATGCGATTTTAGGTCCCCTGCTTCACTTAACGATGTTTCTTTTTTCAATTTAAAAAGTGTCTTAGAAGGGTCCACCAGCCAGAAGGATGGTAGAGATGAGTTCTTTCTGGGACCTACAATCTTCCAATGGTTAATGACCTGCACAGATACACTCCTAATTTTTGTGAATGCATAGCAGATCCTTGAAGCTACTAAACTGTATTGAATTGTGAGATTCAAGGAAGGACCAAGTCAGGGG